CTTGATAAACTATTGAACACCATTTTCTGTTCTGTAATACAGCAGGCACAAGCCAGCTTGCAGATAAATGCCAAGATGCTAGATGATTAAAAAAAAGATTCAAGTAAATTAAGTTTCACCTGTAAGGTTGTTATCAGATCTAACAGATACACACGACTAGTACCTATATAAAGGGGAGAAAAAAGTATTAACCATGAGATTCAATCATGGTTAAGCCTCTATAAACGAAGCTAAGTCTACTTTAGATGCTTTACTACGAAGAAGATAGTACGAAGATACTCTACTACGAAGCTTTACTAAGTCTACTCTCACCTTGGTGTTTATCAACAGTGTTGTCAATACTGGGGTTTTCACTGCCAACTCACCTGGTAACTGTCAAGTCTTAATCACATGAGTAAACCATTAATCAGACTCACTTTTTACTTGACGTGCCAGATAATAGGCGTGATCTAATGATTACGTTGCGTCACGGTAAGCTTGCGTGACGCAAACCCCCAAGAGAAGCTGACCTACCTCGTCTCTATGGCCGCCAAGTACGCTGTTTTGGAGGCGCCAGGTGACGGCAGCTGGAGGCTTGGCACCTACAATTTGGCACTGGAGGTCGTACGGCCGTCCGGCACTGAGGGGCGCTCTGTCCCCCAGGATTCTCACCCACAGGGGAGGAACTGCCGGCCCACACACCCGGGGAGAGAGTTATTTTCAGTTAGAATAGTTTCTTGGTGGTTCGTAAAGCGGCGAATATTTCAGGGTTTTGTATGGCTAGCATTGTGAGGGGTCAAGGCGTTAAGTAACTTAGGCCAAGGAAGTGTCCCAAGCCACTTATTGGGACGCGGCCCAAGCCAGGGACGCGGTTCTTTCAATTGGCTCAGGGCAGGATAGTGGGCCAGACTGGGAAGAAGGAATTTTAAGGTTTGCATCACTAAGAGAATAACCATAAGACGTCAACTAGCCACTTTATCACTTGGTGAACTGTGTGCTACTCCAGCACACTCTAGAACTTTGGATTAAACATCAGCATCTTAAAAAGAAAATAATTATCGGAAATAACAAGAACGAAAAAAAAAACACCTGCATCTTGTTAAATTTTCAAAAGCGTCTTTGTCCCACTTAGAACAACTTAATATCTTATCTCCGCCGTCTGCTGAACCCTTGTGTCTTAGAAAAGATTTATCCCCCCCCCCCCACCAGCCCCTTCCCCGCAAAAAAAGCGTTCTTACGTCCTTGATTTGTGAAATAAGAGTCCGATTTAAAAAGTTACTTACTTCTTGGACAATATTAAAAAGGTAGAAATAATTTGTATCAGTCACTATATAATAAGATTGAAGTCGTCTGACAACAAGAATGATGTGTTGGGGAACTGTGAGGAGAGTGTGGACATTGACAAGCCACGAGAACAAACTTCCTGAAGAAAGCGAGAAGTACTTGAAGGAAAATGTCTATTCTGAATAGATAGGAAAAGTAAGGCAAGCGATCTATAAGAATTATACTCTCATAATATATCTCCATTAATAAACAAAACTACGTAGATATGGATAGAAAGATATACAAGGAGAGAGAGAGAGAGAGAGAGAGAGAGAGAGAGAGAGAGAGAGAGAGAGAGAGAGAGAGAGAGAGAGAGAGAGAGAGAGAGAGAGAGAGACAGAGAGAGAGAGAGAGAGACAGACAGACAGAGAGAGACAGAGAGAGAGAGAGAGACAGACAGACAGAGAGAGACAGACAGACAGAGAGAGACAGACAGACAGAGAGAGACAGACAGACAGAGAGAGACAGACAGACAGAGAGAGACAGACAGACAGAGAGAGACAGACAGACAGACAGAGACAGACAGACAGAGACAGACAGACAGACAGAGACAGACAGACAGAGACAGACAGAGACAGACAGAGACAGAGACAGACAGACAGAGACAGACAGACAGAGACAGACAGACAGAGACAGACAGAGACAGACAGAGACAGACAGAGACAGACAGACAGAGACAGACAGAGACAGACAGACAGAGACAGACAGAGACAGACAGACAGAGACAGACAGAGACAGACAGACAGAGACAGACAGAGACAGACAGACAGAGACAGACAGAGACAGACAGAGACAGACAGAGACAGACAGACAGAGACAGACAGACAGAGAATGAGGGGGGAGGGACCAAATGGTGAGGTAGGTTTTAATAAAATAATAAACTGATTAACATACAATATTACAAAATCTTAAGAAAACAAATGAATACAAAAAATGCTGAATTATCATCTTGACAATTATTCACCAATTATTCGTAATAGCTTCACTGGTAAAGGTCTCGTTGAGGCTCGAATCTTACTTGTTCTGTCGAATTAATCCCATAAATGGAATATAATAGGTTAAATCAATGACTCACCTTTTTATGACTCACCGATTTATGTCAATGAGTATTTTTTTTTTAGTAAATCCTTTTAGGAACTGAAAGTTGGAACCCTTGTGGTTTACCTTTTTTTTCCTTTACGAGGATATTGAGTGGACACATCCGGCGCCTGACAGAAACGTGCGTATCCTCGCTACATATGCAAGACTGTAACTTGATTTGCTCAAGACTTGTAACTTGATAAAATGTGTCATGTACCCTGCGGACCTCTATTGCCTTCAACATTGAGGGACGGATACACCTCTTTTGCCTTCAACATTGGGGGATGGATAGACCTCTATTGCCTTCAACATTGGGGGATGGATAGACCTCTATTGCCTTCAACATTGGGGGATGGATAGACTTCTATTGCCTTCCTCATTGGGGGATAGAAAGACCTCTATTGCCTTCAACATTGGGGGTGGATAGACCTCTATTGCCTTCCCATTGGGTGATGGATAGACCTTTAATGCCTTCAATATTATGGGAAGGATAGACCTCTATTGCCTTCAACATTGGAGGATTGATAGACGTCAATTGCCTTCAACATTAGGGGTGGATAGACCTCTATTGCCTTGAACATTGGGGGATGGATAGACCTCTATTGCCTTCAACATTGAGGGACGGATACACCTCTTTTGCCTTCAACATTGGGGGATGGATAGACCTCTATTGCCTTCAACATTGGGGGATGGATAGACTTCTATTGCCTTCCTCATTGGGGGATGGATAGACCTCTATTGCCTTCAACATTGGGGGTGGACAGACCTCTATTGCCTTCCCATTGGGTGATGGATAGACCTTTAATTCCTTCAATATTGTGGGAAGGACAGACCTCTATTGCCTTCAACATTGGAGGATTGATAGACCTCTATTGCCTTCAACATTGGGGGATGGATAGACCTCTATTGCCTTCAACATTGGGGGATGGATAGACGTCAATTGCCTTCAACATTAGGGGTGGATAGACCTCTATTGCCTTGAACATTGGGGGATGGATAGACCTCTATTGCCTTCAATATTGTGGGATGGATAGACCTCTAGTGCCTTCAACATTGAAGGGTGGATAGACCTCTAGTGCCTTCAACATTGGGGGATGGATAGACCTCTACTGCCTTCAACATTGGGGGATTGATAGACCTCTAGTGCCTTCAACATTGGGGAATAGATAGAGTTCTATTTTTTCATCATAGGGGATGGGTAGACCTCTATTGCTTTAAACATGGGGGGATGGATAGACCTCTATTGCCTTCAACATTGGGGGATTGATAGACCTCTATTGCCTTCAACATTGGGGGATTGATAGACCTCTATTGCCTTCAACATTAGGGGATGGACAGACCTCTATTGCCTTCAACATTGGAGGATGGAGAGACCTCTATTACCTTCAACTTTAGGGGGGATGGATAGACCTCTATTGTCTTCAACATTGGCTCATGGATAGACTTCTATTGCCTTCCATATTGGGGGATAGAAAGACCTCTATTGCCTTCAACATTGGGGGATGGATAGACCTCTATTGCCTTGAACATTGGGGGAAGGATAGACCTCTATTGCCTTGAACATTGGGGGGATGGATAAACCACTATTGCCTTCAACATTGGCGGATTGATAGACTTCAAATGCCTTCAACATTGGGGGTGGATAGACCTCTATTGCCTTGAACATTGGGGGAAGGATAGACCTCTATTGCCTTGAACATTGGGGGGATGGATAGACCACTATTGCCTTCAACATTGGCGGATTGATAGACTTCAAATGCCTTCAACATTTGGGGATGGATAGACTACTATTACCTTCAACATTCTGGGTGGATATACCTCTATTGCCTTCACATTGGGGGATGGATAGGCCTGTATTGCCTTCAACATTGGGGGATGGATAGACTTCTATTGCCTTCCACATTGGGGGATGGATAGACTTCTAATGCCTTCAACCTTGGGTGCGGATAGACCTCGATTGCCTTCAACATTGGGGGATGGATAGGCCTCTATTGCCTTCAACATTGGGGGTGAATAGACCTCTATTGCCTTCACATTAGGGGATGGATAGACTTCTAATGCCATCAACCTTGTGGGTGGATAGACCTCTATTGCCTTCACATTAGGGGATGGATAGACTTCTAATGCCATCAACCTTGTGGGTGGATAGACCTCTATTGCCTTCAACATTGGGGGATGGATAGACTTCTATTGCCTTCAACATTGGAGTGGGGGTGGATAGACCTCTATTGCCTTCACATTGGGGGATGGATTGGCCTCTAATGCCTTCAACATTGGGGGATGGATAGTCCTTTATTGCCTTCAACATTGGGGGATAGATAGACCTCTATTGCCTTCAACATTGGGTGATGGATAGACTCTATTGTGTTTAACATTGAAAGGTAGGTGGACCTCTATTGCCTTCAACATTGGAGGGTGGATAGACCCCTAGTGCCTTCACATTGGGGGATGGATTGGCCTCTAATGCCTTCAATATTGGAGGATGGATAGTACTCTATTGCCTTCATCATATGGGGATAGATAGACCTTTATTGCTTTAAACATGGGGGGATGGATAGACCTCTAGTGCCTTCAACATTGGGAGATAGATAGACCTCTATTGCCTTAAACATTGGGGGAAGGATAGACCTCTAGTGCCTTCAACATTGAAGGATAGATAGACCTCTAGTGCCTTCAACATTGGGGGATGGATAAACCTCTATTGTCCTCAACATTGGGGGATGGATAGACTTCGATTGTCTTCAACATTGGGGGATGGATAGACTTCTATTGCCTTATTCATTGGGGGATACAAAGACCTCTATTGCCTTCAACATTGGGGGTGGATAGACCTCTATTGCCTTCCTATTGGGTGATGGATAGACCTTTAATGCCTTCAATATTGTGGGATGGATAGACCTCTATTGCCTTCAACATTGGGGGATGGATAGACTTCTATTGCCTTCAACATTGGGGGAAGGAGAGATATCTATTGCCTTCACATTGGGGGATGGATAGTCCTCTATTGCCTTCAGCATTGGGGGATGGATAGACCTCTATTGCCTTCCACATTGGGGATGGCTAGATCTCTACTGTCTTTAACATGGGGGGGGGGTAGATCTCTATTGCATTCAACATTAGGGGATGGATGGGCCTCTATTACCTTCAACATTGGGGATGGATAGACCACTATTGCCTTGAACATTGGGGGGATGGATAGACATTTTTTCCTTCAACATTAGAGGATGGATAGACCTCTATTGCCTTCAACATTGGGGGAAGGATAGACGTCTTTTGCCTTCTA